ATATATATTTTAAGATACCTTTTCAGTCTATATGTAGAACAGATCATTTGGGACACTGGACTTGATGAGAAGAAATTTGATATCAGCATTGGAGGAAGATTCATCAAATACCTACATTATGCAGATAACACAACCTTGTTCACTGAAACTGAAGAGGACCTGAAACGCTTGCTGCAGAAGGTCACAATCAACACTCTTGGCACCAGTAGTCAAGAAATCAAAAGATAAATCTCATTAGGTAAATCCGCTGTCAGGGCCCTCTCCAGAGTACTGAGAAGCAATGACTAAGGTGCACCTGATCCAGGCCATGGTCTTCACAATTACTGGCTATGCATCAGTGAGCCAGACAATGACTAAGGATGACAGAAGAAGAATTGATGTCTTTGAGTTGTGGTGCTGGAGAAGAACATACCACAGAATGTCAAGAAAACAAATAGGTCTGTCTTGGAGAGGGTGAAACCAAGTTTCTCCTTAGAACCTAGGATTTTGAACATCTGTCTCATATACTTTGAGGATGTGTGCAGGAAGGATTGATTCTTGGAGAAGGATATCAGGCTTGGAATGGTGGAGGGACAGTGCAGGAGGCAAAGACTCCAGATGAGGTAGATTGATATAGTAACTAAAGCAATGGGAGTAGGTGTATTGGAGTCAGTGAAACTGTCTCAGGACAGAGCAGGCCTCAGAGCTGTTGTATATAGGGGTCATTTTGAGTCACAGGTAAACCAATGGCACGTAACAACAACAGCAAAAACCCAACAAAAAACAACATTTGCATTTAAGGAGTATTTTGGTTTCACCATCTCCAGGATAAATCTATTTGTTCTCTTGCCAATTTATGGTATGTTTAATACTCTTCTCCAGCACCACAGCTCAAAGGCATTGATCTTCTCCTATTATACTTAGTAATTGTCCTGATGCAAAGAAAGCAATTGCAAAGACCATGGCCTGAATCAGGTGCCTCATAGTCTCTAGATTGACACTGTTGCTCTTTAGGACTATGGAAAACTCACTGATGGCACATTTTTCCAGTGCAAGTCGTCTCTGACTGAAGATGCCAAGAGTGCTGATTGTCCATCTAAGCTAACTGAAATTGTTTAAAAAAAAATTCTCAATCATTTTTTCCATCTGTCATGGTGTTGCCAATTGGTTAGTGGTGAGAATCTTTGTGGTTTGTTTTTTTTTTAATTGTAATATTTTTATTTTAACAATTTTAATGAACATTTACAGAGATTTTGGATTTCCATTCATTCATTGCTGCACTTCTCTCCCCGTCCAGCATCACCCCCCAGTTCACTCCTCTCTTTGAAAAGTAAAACTCCCTCCAGAGCAGTCATAAAGACTTCAATGACAAAATCTGTAAAGACATTAGGCAAATGACTGAGAAGTAAACAAAAAAAGAGATTTTTAACTTCATTCAATATATGTTCACATCATGTTAACAATCTGCTAGGAAAGTATATTCCAGACAGAAGAGTTAGGAAGTCTAGAGTGGGGCTGAGGACGTCAAAGAGATAGCAGCTGACATTAATCTGATGGCACTGTCACAGGGAAGAAAGGGTTAACTAAGCCCAGGGGAACAAAGGTAGTTAATTCGTGTAACAGCAGAAGTTTGATTTCCTTCCCAGCTGGAAACCACAGAAAGGCAGCCAATCTAGCCCAGCACATGCTCCAGCCATTATCTCAGGAGCCCAAGGACCACTTCCTGGCTCCAGCCATTGCTGCAGGGGACGGGGTCAGAAGACTAAGGAAGTGAGGTGGGAACCAGAGGGTCAGAAGACTAAGGAAGTGAGGTGGGAACCAGAGGGCATCCTTAAGGGAAGCTCAGAGGGAATACTTGAATGTTGTCTTTCCCATTGTTCAACGTCAAGATGAAAATCTTGGACAGCTCAACTCCTAGAATATTAGGGCTTACACAGGAAGCTGAATTTGATGACATACCCAAAGGCTGGTAGGGTACAAATAAACAATCTGAGGGAGCAATGCTTCTTAACAGTACCTACCTTTCATCCACATGTTTTGAAAATATAGCTTGCTTATATAACAAGCCTTTGGAAACAAAATTAACCCTTTGACGTAAGAGAAAAACTATTTTGTTAACAAGGCCTATCTCAGGATCCCAAAATAAGGAAGTAAACAAAAGAAAACTGAATCACCACCCATTCTTCCAAAATAAAATATTTACTGTACTTTAGCAAATGAATTTTTCACATGTCTCCAGGTTTCCTGACTTGGGGAGACAGAAGGAACGAAATATTATGGGAGAGGCTCATCTTGTAGTGCTTCCAGGCAGGCCGAGAGCAGGAAATCCTTGCAATCGACTGAGAAAAGCCTGGTCTCTCAAGATTGCCAGATCAAAAGGAGCCAGAAATGCTGGAAGACCTGTCTCTGTCAAATTCTTCAGCAGGGAGGAGGAGGCCACAGAATTCTACTCTGGACCTTGCTTACCCTGGGCAAGAGGAATTCTTAAACATTACACAATCCAGGAGTGCACACAGGGCTTTGATGTGGCCTATACCTTGCCAATGCATTGACCATTGAAAACTGGGTGGGGATATGAAGCGTCACTTTCAAAGCTGATGAAGTTCTCATACTGGCAAAAAAGGTATGTGTCTGGGAAGAAACAAAAACAAACTCTAAGCCATCTTCAGAGGGAGCTCTGGTGGCCTAGTGGCAAGAAACTGCACTGCAATCCCTGAAGGCACTCAGTTTGAGGCCGCCAGCTTCTCAGCAGGAGAAGAAAGGGCAATCTCCTCCCATGCTATAAACTGCCTCTGAAAACCTGCCAGAGGGTCAGCTATGGGTTGGTTCCATCTCAATGGTACACAACAATAACAAGCCATCTTCAGCTGCCAAAATCCTCTAGGACACACAGAGCTATAAAAATATATGAAGAAAAGCTCCTCTTTGCTAAAAAAGAAAAAAAAAAAAAATTCCATATATCCAAGCAAATTACTACGCAATTCCTTTTAACTATTACATGTGGCAGTTACATCAAAAAGATGTCATTGGTTAAGTCAGCTTTTCAGAGACAATTTAAGGGAGTAGAAAATATCTGAAACATGAGAGAAAAGCACAGCTACTTCTGAATAGTGGACATCAGATTTTGCACTCCATGGATGCCAGCTTGGTCTCTATGGTGTCAATTCTAAATTGCAAACCCTTGAGTGATCTGTTAGCTCACTCAAGATCTTAGACCATACATGCAAGGGAGATTTGAAACGTGCTTTGATGGACTGCCTGGCTTTGTACAAGAGTATGAGATTTTTGAAATGTGTATGTGGGAAGTGAAAAATTCCTACACACACACACACACACACACACACACACACACACACACATCTAACTTGAGATGTCCTGCCTCATGCCCTGTACATTCTTAGGAAAATCTCCTGCTGTTGGTATAGATAACTTATCTTTACAGAAACATCATAAAAATTCACCTCTAAGTCTTCCTTGTCAAGGATTTCAGGCTGGGTTTTCTCCCTTGTCCCCCCTCACAACTCTACAGAAGCAATATATTTTCTTTTTAAGAATTTTTACTTCATAGCAGGTAGACATTTTAATTGCCTAAGAAATAAACTACTAACAGGCACAACTTTGTATCACTTTTTATAAAAATAAATAATCAAAATTTTCAAAATTTCCAAACTTCATGAATGGAAGGAGAGAAAATCAGTCCCGTAGGTGGAGTGCTAACATCCTAACATCCATATCGGATTACAGTAGCATTGTATCTCTTTAATCTTCCCATACTACTAACACTACATTTTATCATAGAGGAGGCTAGAAAGTAGCTAGCCAGGATCAGTTTAAAAGGAGGGAAAGTGGGTAGCATAACTGGATGTGAATTTAGATGCCACAGCTAGCTTTGTGCACAGATTTACTCAGGAACTAAGATCAGTATCCAACTAATAGAGCCAAAATGGGGGGGGGGGGAGAAAAGAAAAAAGGATGTAATCAGGTCCAAGGTCTAGAACAAATCCGTGCATCTCCTTTCTCAGAGGAAACCTTGAGAGAATAGATTTTGTATTTTCCGGTTGGCAAGCGGCCTTTCAAGACAGTCCTTTGTTGCAGGCGATTCATTTTTTTTGTATCTATTGTGTTTTGCAGCCGGTAAGCCAGCGTAGGAAGTGAATTCTATTTAACCACTCACCTTGGACATAGACATAAATGGCCGTGGTCATGTTGGTGTCCCGATAGAAGCACTTGTAGGTTCCAGTGTCATTTCCGATCACTCGAGGAATTGTCAGCATCTTACAGAAGGAGCCCTCACTGCACTCGGTCATCTCCACCCTTTCCTCGGAACCACTCTGATTGTTGGGCCAAAGCCAGTCCAAGTCCCTCTGTCCTCTGAAAAGTTAAATCCAGGGAATTATGAATATGAAATGCCACTCTGAGACTGCCTCTCAGGAGCAGGAGACAGAAGGCTTGGTGCCTCAAACTGTGACATAAAGTCCCCAGCACACAACTGCAAAGCTTTTTTGCCAAAGACAATAGACTACAATCCACAAACAACAAAAGGCCAAAGCTTAGCACCCAAAATTATTTCTAGAGATTCCCAAGATCTCCATTCACTCAACAAGTACTTATTGGGGAGCTTTGGCAGCCTAGGGGTAGGGAGCTGTACTGCCAACCTAAAGATAGTTCAAATCTACCAGCTGCTTTTTGGGAGAAAGATGGGCAATCTTTTCCTGTCCTATTTGTTGTTGTATTGTTTATTGCTGTCAAGTTGGGACCAACTCATAGTTTGACTCTTCAGTTAGGTTTTTTTTTGTTGTCTTAACTTGTTTCATTTTGTTGTTGTTTTAATTAGTTTTTAGCTGTTGTTGTTGTTATTTATTGCTATCAAGTTAGGACCAAGCAACAGTTGACTCTCAAGCTAGTTTTTAGAAGCAGTTAATCACATGGAGAATGCCTGTCCATCTCCCACAGAGCAGCTGGTGGATTTGAACTATGTGCCTTTGAGATTGCAGCTCAGCTTCTTACCACTAGGCCACCTGAGCTCTAGTGCAATTGACAGCTTCTAAAAACCTGCTGGAAGATGAGCTATGACATCAGTTCTGACTTTATGGTACATAACAACAACAATCACACTATGTAGACTGCTAAGGACTGGACATAACAGCAGGGAATTAATCAAGCAAAAATTAATGCCTTTATGTAATCTCAGTCTAATTGGAAGAGATAGGCAATATAAAAAATATCAATAAGAACTATGGAAAAAATACAAGAGAGATAAAGAAATGGATTAGAAGGACTACTGGATCAGTGCCTGATAAAGAGGGTCTGTGATTACCAGGAGCCACAGTACCTCAGGCAGTGTTATTGTTGTTGTTATGTGTCAGCAAGTAAACTCCAACTCATAGCAGCCTCATGCATAACAGAATGAAATACTGTCCAGCCCTATGCCCTCTTCACATGTTAAAGCCCATTGGATCTATCTCATTGAGCTTCATTCTCTTTTTCATTAACCCTGGTGGCTGAGTGATAAGGAAGTGTCACCATGGGAAAAAGATGGGTAATATCCTCGCTATGATTACAACCTCCAAAAACCTCCTGGAGGGTCCGCTATAAAACTGGTCCAACACCATGCAATGAACAGCAACAACTACTCTAGTACACATGATGTCCATGTGAGCAGAACTGCAAATGTAAAGGCTTTGAGGTTAGTTACATATCGGGAATACAAGGGAAACAGCAAAGAAGCAAAGGGGAGTCCAAGAGAAGAGATAAAGGAAGAAGAGGGTGCTACTGTCCAGGCCACTGTGAGGACCCCACTAAAACACAGATTACCATAATTATACTATTTCTTTACAAGACCCAGGGGAGCCAGCCTGCACAAAAAAGAATGTAAGGTTATCGATCTTTCTTTCAAAGAACTTGAAACTTCCATGAAATTGTAGCTGCGTTAATAGGTCCTACACACACATACACACAGGAATAATTTCCCTCAAATTGATTACAACTCTTGGTAACCCAGGAGGCATGACTCAGAGTGGAACTGTGCTCTATAGAGTTTTCTTTTCTTTCTTTTTAAGTATAATCCTCCAGATTTGTGTACAGTGATCAGTGTAGTCCCTTTTACTTGCCCATATGTGTTCATCTTGGCTATCTGCCTATATCCATGTGTAGACTTATGTATCTTTTTTTGTCATAATAAACACAATAGGATTAAGCACATAACACAGTGTTCTTTGTTGACTGTATTTCTTGTGCACCTCTCCAGGACTTCTTCTTTAGTGATGTTGTACTGATAATACCCTTCTTGAATATTGTCTTTCCCTTCACCCCTCCTAAGTGTGTCATTGATTTTTTTTTTTTGCTCCCCTCCTAGAAGGTGTCCCTCAAAGAACATGCCTTTCTGTGTGTAAACCTTTTTTTCAGTTTTTTCTAATAGTGGACCCGCGATACAATACCCATCAAATTTTCTATAGCGAATTTTTTTCAGAAACTGATTGTCATAACTTCCTTCCAAGGTCCATACGGGTGGACTTGAACCTCTCACCTTTCAGTTCACAGCTGAACACTTAACTGTTTATACTATCCAGAGGCTCCAACACACTCCACATTTCTTTAGAATATTAGAAACGTCTACACAGAGCTCAGAGGAAGAGATGGATCTCTGGAGGTTTTAAATAATCTCTTTTTGTGAGGGTGTGTAAGAGAAAAGCCAGTGAGAAATGTGTTTGCTTTGAACCAGTACAAATAGAACCAGGTAACAGCACTTACAACTCTTTCTTCGCAGGGACTGGGTGTTAGGATCAAGGTCTTGATTAGGGGGCAAGGTATGCATCTGCACATTTTATAATCTAAAAGAGACCTCTTTATGTTTAACATTATTTATCAAATAGGAAGCAATTACAATTAACTTCCCAAGGTTCTTTCTACACCTTTAGTACTCTTCTACGCTCCAAGAGTGAAAGATAGGCAATCTCTTCCTGTGTGAGTTACAGCTTCTGAAAACTCACTGGAGGGTCAGCTGTGAATCAGCTCTGACTCAACAGCAATGAATGAGGGAGGGAGGGAGTATATGTCTCAAAGGGTAACATTACCTCCACTCATTGTCACCTCTCCCAAAAGTAAATTGTAGAAACATTTGGGTTTTTCATGCGAAATCACTACAGTATGTCAAGGTGTTCCATATTCTCTCCCACGGTGGGAGTAAAAAGCAAAATTTAAAAGCCACAGTTAATCAAAGAGATCTGTTTCTCTAATTAGAAAAAAAAAATCAGTAGCATGACTCCTTGCAAGCAAGTGCAAAGAGAAGCATTCCAAGACTCAGGGGGCCAGGGCAGGGAGTCCTTTACCCACACAGAGCACTCACTCAATAATATTAATGACCAAGAAGCAAATTCTAACTACAGTCAGAATATAATCATGAAATAAAGCTCTCGGAAAGAACTAAAAAGTTGCTTCAGGAACATTTTGAGTATGATAAATATAATTCAAAATGTTTTCAACTCATCCTTTATGGATACGTCATCAGGTTCATTTATTGGCTTAATATTGATTAAGTGTCTACTACACTGATGTTCTAATCATTGCGGTGGGGAGGGGCAATTGTATCTGTGTGTACATGTCCATGCATACCTCTGGGTTTGCGCACTTGCAAGGCAGATAGCAAAGAAAAACAGCAAAATCAACAAATTTCTAGAAGACATTTCTAATCTTTTCATTATTATTAAAAACTCTGTCAGCAGAGTCGGTAGCAAATCACACTGCTAACCCAAAGACTGTCCATCTCTTTTGGTTCGATTTCACCAGCAGTTACTTGGCTAAAAGATGGGACATCTCTTCCCATGCTATTTACAGCCTGGGGAGTTCAATGGAGGGTCACTTATGAGTCAGTTCTGAGGTGTCAGCAATGAGTTGAGTTTCATCAATTCTTAGAAACTTCACTGTTTACAAATGATTTCTATAAACTTTGCTTCAAAGGGAAACATTTGTTCTCTTGATAAACAATGAATGAGTTGGTTGTTCAGCATAAGAAATCTGAATCTACAGTGAACCCTTACCTGCAAGAGATCCGAAGAGTTGTATTTGCCAGAATGGTAAGTATGTCCTTTTGTATGCTGAGCTGGGGTGGATCAAGAGAAACACCAGGCAAGCCTGGAAACAAATGAAACACATCAGTGCAAATGCCATTGAGTCAGACCCCATAGGAAACACCTTCCATAAACAATGCACACTCTATACTTTCAGAGGGACTCTTAGGCCATTCATTGTGTTAAAACTGAATTTACTTTTCACCATTCCCAGTAAAAGTTCACAAGCTGTGTCATAACAGGAAGAATGGGCAGATGGTCATACACCAACACAACAGTTCTGCAATTCATGGAGCTAGGGTGGAGTTCCTGTTTTCCTGCACTGCCAACTTCAAGGTCTTACAAAAGGATATGGACATTGAAACCACATGAACCTTCATCTGATGATCTCACTCCCTTGGGAAGGGATCCACTGGCATTTCTTATAAAGCATAGGATGCACACATTTGACTAAATTGCTGATTAATGAATACTGCTTAGAGAGAACATCTATATACCACGCTCATCTGTGTTCCCTCAGGGTGGGAGGGGGGTGAGGTTTATGCATGACCCTTTCTCATTTTTCTTTACTGATTTTCCCTGTGTACTGCCTCTGGCAACTGGACTACAAAAGGAATGGCACATAAAGGCTGTATATTAAAGCTGAGCGAAAGGAACTTAGGAAGAAGGAATATTTTCCAAATTCATATAATATGCATATCAATATACTTTTGTTTACCTTCACCGAAAACAGTGTAACGCTAATGAACTGCAATTGAGGAATGTAAAATTCCTCAAAGTATTGATCAAAGATTTCAGCTCACCCTAATACCAAGCTTCAGAAGCAGGAGCAGCATCCACTTCCTAAACAACATGCTTCTGGAAACTATATGAATTTTGATAAATGATAATAGTTATAGAAAGGCTTCAGGCCTTTTGTACCTAGTCATGCTTGACTCGACAGCAATCAACAACAATACTAAGCTTCAGTCACAAGAAACCTGTCTGTCTCTAAGATTTCAGAACTAGAACAACAACAGCAACATAAACCATGGGACAGATTCCCCACTGTGGATCACTCCTCAGTAAGAAAAGTTAGTTCTCTGTCAACTAAATGTGAAGAATACAAGGTGCAAAAGCACCAGAAAAAGAAAAACTCTCCACCATACTAGGATTCTAACTGATACTGAAAAACCACATGGTCGGCACGCTCTAACTGCAAATCCATGAGTCAGAGAAAAACTGGCTCTGGAAGCGTTTTTTCCGTGGCAGACTTTTTTTGGCCTAGACGGCCAGACCTTTCTTCTGAGGCATCCCTGGGTGGACTTGAGTCACCAACCTTATGGTTAGCAGCTGAGAGTGCCAACCATTTACATATTAGGATCCACAAAGCAGCAGCTTAAAAAACAAGTGACACAGAGAAGAACCCAAACTTAATAAGGTCTTTAACTCACATCAACGAAGAACAAATGATTCTCAGGGCCTAAACTAGCGATGACCTTGCAGGCAAATAATGAGCAGGAGCTCTTAGGAAAGAACATGCATAAAGAGAGTATAAAACAATTATCTAAGAGCTCTGGTGGCCTAGGGGGTAAGGAGCTGCACTTCCAACCCAAAGGCAGATGGGTAGAATCTAACTGCATCTGCTTCAAAGGAGAAAGCTGAGCAATTCCCTCCCATGTGATTTAAGGCTCTGAAACCCCACTGAAGAGTCAGTTATGAATCGGTTCCATTGCGAATTGACTCCAAATGTTCATAATCAATGAGTCCAGTCCGTGGACTCCAGTGGGAATAACTACAGGTGAAATTAGCAATCTTCAAACAGATGTGCAAAATACATTGGCAACATCACTGTAGGCTCACTGGTCTATGACGTAGTAGGAAGAAAACGAAAAGTCTCAAAAACTAAGTGTCATTGATACTGATTTGTGTTTGTACCAACTGAATTCATTGTGATCGAGGAGGAACCAACTCAGAGCTGAGCTTCCATCGGGTTTTCAGAGGCTGTAAAAGTGCACGGGAAGAGCCTGCTCATCTCAAACTCCCTTGGAGTCACTAATGTACTCAACCTTGGTTGCCTTACCAATGTATTTGGAGGAGCAGCTGATGATTTTAGGAGGGATTAGAATAACCCTCAACCTATGAATCTGCCCTGTAGCCAGCACTTTAGATGACAGACTTAGCGCAGGGGCCACTCTCGGTCACCTATGTTTCTGACTGGCCTAGTTCATTAGCTAACCCAGCACCTTTCAACTCCATCCTTTTGAATACAAAGCAAGTAACTGTCCCCAAAGTCTGCAAACAATAAAGCAAAATGTTTAAAAGAAATGCCATCTGACAATGGAGCCCCACTTGGCCTAAGAAAATGAGAAAGAACTTGCATTTGCAAAAGCGCAGATGTCAAACTTGTATAAGAATCTAAGTCAGAAAAACAAGTGGAAAGCAGCAGCTTAATACAATCTGTACAATGATCCAAATGAGAAATAAGCCATATCCATGTGAGAATAGTCATAAATGATAGGGTTCTAAATAATCCATGCCCTCCACTCCCGTCCAAGAGACTCAAGATCTCTCAAAAGTCATTGTTAAAAAAGTATCTCACATTGTAGACACACATTCTTATGTAAAAAAATTTTAAAAGGAACTATATCCCCCACTCCTAGAAAGTTGAGAAAACACTGTACTGTTTGAGAGAGGCATCTTCAACAAAAGTCTATTCAACAAAGCTATGAATGAATAATAACTCCAAATTCATTATCTGTAGACTAACACTCAAGCTTCCCGGCCCCCATTTAAAAACTTCATTCCGTTTCAGTGGCCAGTTTGGAGTTCTGCTCCTCAGAAAGTTATGAAGAAATGACTAGAAGAGACACATATACCCTCCTACTCAATAAAAAGCCCCTCTATGTTCACGTCCCATAACCAATATTAATTAGTTTGTGCACTATTACCCCTTCCAGCTCAAATACAGAGACGAAAAACAACAGTGTCTCTGTCTCTAGAATTTGATGGCACCAATTATAGCGCAATCCAATTAAGTAAGCCACATACTCCAAAAGGGCAACCTCGCCATTATTCAAGGCAACCCGATTACCATTACTACTGCTGCGCTAGGAAACACCCCAGGCTTTAAAGCAACTCACTTATTTATGGGACATGGAACAACCACATGTCCAGACCTTCAATGGCTGCTGCCCAAAAGGGGGAAGAGCGAGGGGGGATTGTCAGGGTCAAATGGGCATCCAGGGTAGAACAGGGCCTGGTGAACCAAGTCATTAATGAGAAAATTCAATCACTGTAGACAGCTTGTGAGTGGAAATCTTACTGAATAGTGAGTAGAAGAGGCTAGGGATTCTTTCAATATAATAATGGCTGGTGTGTTGTTGTTGTTTTCTAAGTTGTGCTACGTATTTCTCCCCACCCTCCAGACCTCATGGAATCTGGAAACCGGAAAATAGTGGTTACAAAAAAATTTATACTTTATTTAAAAAAAAAAATCAAGCACGGAATCAAGCACGTGTGCATTTCTAATCTTCAAGAAGATTGGGCGCAAAATTCGGCGCAAATTAACTAGTTCAGGCTTAAGTGGCGCTAAACCTTGTGACCAAGTGCTAGAGTGGGTCTCTTGGGCTTGAACTCTGCCCTAGCGCTTTCTGCAATGGACACAGCACTTTAGAAGGGAAAAAAATTGAATAAGCAAAAACTGTGTTAGTAAAGAAGGTGTTCGTTGACTAAGCTGTCACAACCCCAGGAGCAAGCCTCAATTTCTACCGCCTTCTAAGTAAAGGGAGAGGCACAAGGAACGTGCAAAAAAAAAGAGCTTATCCCTGGACGCCAGGATCGCTCTCCACGAGGTCGAGCTGAGTGCATGGTGCGCTCTGGCCCCAGTTGTCTGCCTGAGACAGAGATGGGATAGTCGATGCCTCTGGGACTTTTTACCACCAGTTCCTGCCTCTGGGGGCACCTTCTGCCGCCCCCTGGCCCCGGTATCTTCCCATTCCCGCCTCTGGGAGCCCCAGGGTGCGGCGGCGCGCAGGATTGTCTCCAGCCTAGCGTCTAGAGCTTGTGGAAAAGCGCAATCTTAGACCTTAGGTGTCTCTCCTCACTAGTAAAAGGAAAAGAGCACAAAAAGTCAAGTCCCTTCCAATTCTCCAGATTCGAAGTTAGACCGAGCCTCCACGTCTTCCCTGCGCACCCGATCTCTCTGCCTCCTTTCTGGGGAGCGGGTTCCTTACCCACGGAAGCTGCCCGGCTCTCCACGCACAGCCAAAGAACGATGACCAGGAGAACCTTGCGCTCCATTCTGCACTTCGTGCTGGACGCAGTGTCCAAAACTCGGGCGCCCCTGCTCCTTCGGGGGCTGCCCAGCAGCGAGAGCGCAGAGGCTGGACGCACGCCGCAGCGCAGCACCCAGGCGCGCACGGGACCGAGGTGCCAGGGTCCAGCCGCGACTGGAGGCACGTCGGCAAGTGCCGGTCGGAGAGGAAGTCCCAGCCACCGCGCAGGACTCTGTGTGGACTCTAGGAAACGCGCAAGTGATGCCTGGAATCAAGAAAGGCAGCCACTGCACATCGCCCTGCACTGGTGGTCCCGGGACTCTGCCCCGAGTAAGCAGAAGCAGCGATAATCTAGAGCGCGGGGCGGGGCGAGGTGAGGCGGGTCCGCGGGCGGAGCTCCCCTTGGAGACCAACCCCGCCCCTCACCCTGCGGGGCGCCCGGATCTCTGGACTCCGCCTGCGGAATCCCGCGCCCTCCACCCTCACCACACCTCCCACCGCCACACCTGCCCTGGATGTGCCCGGCCTTGAGCCTGACAACTTAGTTTCTGATGGAAATGAAATGAGAGTTCCAGGCGCAGCTTCTCAGCTGTGTGCGATCAAGTAGGAGTAAGTGCACAAGTGTTTTAGTTAACCAGCACAGTTGCACTTTGAAAATCTGATGCAGAATGTCTGTAATCAGAAAATACCGGCTCCGCGTTCCCCAAGGTTCAGGCAGCTTCCAAAATTTTGCTATTCACCTGTGCGACCCCTGATTGTTTGCAATCCACTGCCAAGCTCCCAGTAAAACTTTACAGCGGGGCTCCTATGAGTCAGAGGGCCAAAGGGCCAGGAGCTAGATAGGTGAGGCTCTCAAGAAAAGCCTTCTGTCTTTGACGTTTCTGGACTAGGAGCCGCCAGCTTGACTCCACCAAGTGGAATCTTCACCTGTCCAGCCACTCTGCAGAGATCAGCTTCCTGCTGAGATCACCTGAAAGCGGAAGGAGGCCCAGTGCTTCCTCAATGCGTCTTACATGAGAAGAGAAGAGTCAAAAGGCCCCAGATCCTGGGCCACCAGCCCCCTCTGTGATCAAACCTCACAACTCTGAGCCAGAGTCCTCGTTTGTGGTGCTGTTTACAGATATTAGCTAATACTCTTTTCCTGGCTACGTTGTTTCTACTTTTCTATTTCTCAGTCCACTTGTGGAGTGACATCAGAAATCCCCCCCAAAAAACCATACTCGTTGTCACCACATAGCTGACTTTCCACCAGGATTCTGAAGTTGTAAAATCGCCCAGAAGGAGATTTCTTGTTTTTCTCCAGTGGAGCTACTGGTAGCTTCAAACACTCAGATGTGCCTTGTGGGTTCACAGTGCCTAGTGGAGTACGCCACCAGAGTTTCATTAAATCACCAAATATGCCCTAAAACGAAAAGGCAAACCAAGCTCGTTACCATTGAGTTGATGCTGACTCACAGCTACTCTATGACTAACAGACTGTCTTGCCAGTCCAGTCTGAACCGACTCATAACTAACCCACCAGCTGGATTTCAAATCTCAAGGCAGGGGATTGCCCCTCGTTCTTCTGAGGAGCTATTCTACCCGGCAGAGTAGCACTGCCACATAAGGTTTTCCAAGGGCATAGGAAAGACGAGCAAGCTCTTTAGGGCAACTTACCGCCTTAGAAACCCAACAGAGGGCCAGCTATGAGGGCCTACTCTGCCTCGCTGAGTGAGGAGATAATTACAGAAGTTTTTGGTGAATCTTTGAATTGTATTTTTCTTGTATCAACCCACTGCTCCTTAAATATTTCTTATCTTCATTACACAGATTTCTCTCAAATCTCTTTTACTTCCAAAGTGCATCCAAGTTTGTTTTAATAGCACCTGAAAGAATTACCCATCATTGAACTGAAGAGGCAGAATTCTATCTCCCATCTTGTCTAAAATCTCCTCCTGAAAAATCCAATCAACATAAAATGTTACTTCCCTCCCACAATGTTTTTAAAGTGTCATCTTCTACATTTCCAAGCTTCTCACTGGAATATTTAACTCATTCTTACATATAATGAATACATACAGTTAAACTTGTGTCAGTGCAAAGATGTTTCTTTGACAAAGGCAAGTATTTTTTTACAGTTTACTTATTCTTTTTTTTATACACTGGACAATGAGTAAGGATGACAGAAGAAGAATCAATACCTTTGATCAGAATTGCGGTGTTGACAAAGAGTGTTGGTTATCTCATGGAATGGTAAAAAACAAACAAATTTGTCTTAGAGGAAGTACAATCAGAGGGCACCTTAGAGACAAGGATGCTTTGGGCATGCTGTCAGGAGGGGCTAGTCCTTGGCAAAAGACAGACATCATGTTGGGAAAGATAACAGGTCAGAGAAAGAGACCAATTGACAAAGATATTCTAACAATGTACTCAAGTGTGTAGAGCACTGAGGCTGCTCAGGTAACCATGACGATGTAATCGTGTGATGGTGAGGATAGGGCAGGATGGAGCAAGGTGCAGATCTGTTTTTCCCAGGATCTCCGAGTCCTAGTCAACCGGAGGGCACCAGACAACAATGTCAGTATAAGTATAGTATACTCATCACCAGTGGTCTCAGTAGAAGGGAACTATGGAAATCACTAGGGGAAACTGTTGTGGGTGGGGACACCAAAATGAGTTTTTATGCTGTGTTTCACAAGAAATGTATTATTCTTTTTATTTTATTTAAATTTATTATTAATTTCAGTAAAAATTTACAGAGACTTTGAATTTCCACTCATTCATTGTTGCACTTTTCTCCCCTCCCTATCCTCCCCCCTAGTACACTATCCTCTTGGAAAAGTAAAACAAAAATTCTTTTATTGTTTTACAAACCCTACCCCAGGTCCACTTCACCATGTAGCCTTCACTCTAGACTCCTGTCATGACAAAAATACCTGATCACATATCCCTTTTAAACAGTTTTCTCCCTCATCGGTTTCAATGCAGTATATATTATTGATCCCATATTTCTCAGTCTCTCCCCAACCCCAAGGTCAGTCCTGTTTTACAACAATGGCACCATGCAGTATTTGTCCTTTTGTGACTGAGATACTTCACTCAGCATAATGTCCTCCAGGGTCACCCATTTTTAATAATATTGCATGAGTTCCTTGTTTTTCAATGCAGCATAGTATTCTATTGTATGAATATACCACAGCTTCTCTATCCATTTGTTTGTTTATGGGCACTTAGGTTGTTTCCAACTCCTTGCTATTGTGAACAAAACTGCAATAAACATGGGTATGCACATACCTACTTGGATATCAGTTATTGTCTCTTTGGGGTATATTCCCCGTAGTGGAATTGCCTGGTCAAATGGTATCTCTATTTGCAACTTTTTGAGAAAGCTCCATACCGCCTTCCACAGTGGTTCCACCATTTTACACTCGCACCAACAGTGAATAAGGGTTCCAGTTTCTTCACAACCACTCCAGCAGTTGGTGCTTGCTGTTCTGTTAAATTTTGCTATTCTGACTGGGGTGACATGATATCTCATAGTTGTTTTGATTTGCATCTGCCCTAGAGCTAGGGATTTTGAACATTTCTTCATGTGCTTGTTAGCCATCTGAATGTCTTCTTCGGTGAAGTGTCTGTTCATAAAGCATCTCTGAAGGTAATTATAGAAACAAAACATTTTTTGTAAGACCGGTTTTTGTGTATAAATATAACTATGATGCTAAAACCTATGCAAGTTTACACTTTGAACTTTCCAATGTGCTCATTAGGAAGACAGAAGGCTTGATGCCTTTGAATTATGGTGTTGGAGAAGAGTATTCAATATCCCATGGAACACGAAGATAACAAGTAAATATGTCTGGAAGGAAGTACAGACAGGGTGCTCCTTAGAGGCACAGTGACTCTTCATCACACATACTTTAGCAATGTTTTCAGGAGGGTCAGTCCTTAAAAAAATACATAATGCTAGGAAAAGGAGGGTCGGAGGCAGAGAGGAAAATACCCCATGACGTGGACTGACACAGTGAGTATTCTTTCGGGACATTCTTTACACAAGCACTACATTTTTAGCTGTGTGTTCACAGAAAGAATGTACTCAAGAACAGTTGACTATTTTTATTCTTTTTTAGCATCCTTCTCTGGTACAACATATAATTTCACTTAATTTCTATATTAAATCCCCTGCATAGTTTATATTGTACTTTATTTTTAATCTTTATGTGATATATATATATGTATTTTAAAAATGCATATAGGAGAGTTTAGAAAGGCAATGTTGTTATTGTGTGTTGTCAAGCTGAACCAACTCATAGCTGACTCTAACAGGTTTTGAGAGGCAGTAAATCACACAGGAGGATTCTTTCTCCTGATAATCATCTTGTGGACTCAAACTTCATGCCTCTGAGTCGGCAGCATAATTCTTTATCCACTAGGCAGCCTCAGTTTAGACAGGAAGCATAGACATCTATTGTTGTTGATTGCCTTCGAGTTGAGCACGACTCATAGCAACCCTAGGGACAAAAGGCCTGAAGCCCCTCGACAACTATAGACATTTATCGAAGTTCATAGATCTATATTTATATTAACTGAGATTTTTCTTTTGTGTATGGTCACATACTTAGGACATGTTGCTGGGAGAAACTATTTCTTGAAAAAGAACATCATGTTAGGAAAGGTGGAAAGTTAGTGTAAGAGGTAAAGACCTTCAATGAGGTGGATTGACATGGCGACAGCAGCAATGGACTCAAGTGTGTCAGAGATGATGAGGATGGCACAGGAGAGAACAGAGTTCAGGTCTGTTCTTCATGAGCGAGCTGACCTACTTGAGCCCATTGCTGCAGTCACTGTGTCAATCCCTCCGTGAGGGTTTTTCTCTCTTTCTCCGCCCCTTCATCTCTCCAAGCAATTGTTACTGAATTGCTATTCTTCCTGGTTGGTATTGAATCAGTTTTGACTTAATAGAGACTCTATGGACAATAAATGAGACATTCCCAATCCTTCACTCACTTTATGATGATGGCTAAGCTTGAAGCCATTGTGCCACTGTGCCAATCCATCCCATTGACTGTACTTTAGATAAAGGCAGGGTGA